GGGAGGAGGAGGAAGGAGGAGGAAGAAGGAACGCGGGGCGACGTCTCTTCAAAACGAGGACCCAACACCACAGGATGGTTGGGAAAAAGAAGGACGTCGCATGTCTGGGTAGGACGGACGTGGCATCGTTCGGACGTGTGCATCGCTTGGGGGCGAGTACCATCGGGGAGCATTTAGGTTTATCTTGCCCCAAAAATGAACGCACGAAGCCGACAAATGCACGGGGAATGGACGTCCGAGCGATGGCGAGGGGGGGAGGGCTTCTCAGAATCACCCCTGCTTCGCAGAAGGCGGGGGCCTCATCTATAGATGTAGGGCAGGCGCCTTCCAAGAAGCAGCCTTCTTCTAAGAGCCTTCCCCGCTCCCCATACAGTCAACCCGCATAGTACGGATGAACGACGTTCCAAGGCGACCATTCCATTGCATCCTTCCCCTTCGGCCCATCCGTGGCCGCTTTCGCTGGCCGCGCCCCGACCGCAAAGTGTCGACTTGACCTTCCAATCAGGCGATCGCAAACATGGATCAAGGGGGCGTGGATTAGCGACGGGCCCCGTTTCCATGGGAGATCGCGAATTCCCGCCGCCGAGCAAGGCGGCACCGCCCGCATCTTGGTGAGGGCACCTCCCCCGATCCATGGATTTGGCGACCGCGCGCCAAATCCATGGATCGCTAATCCATGTTTGCGCGCCCCCGATAGAAGGCCCTTGCATCCATATCGTGCGTCCGTACTGTACAGTGGAGACCCATGCCAAGGAACACCCTGCTTGCCTCCAGGGTGCCCTGGGTTTCTTGGGTTTCGATGGTTGTGCGATGGAGAGCGCGACGTTCCCGCACGAAGAATCAATGTGGTCGGGCCCCTACTGTTGTGGAGGACGATCAATGGAGAGGAAGCATGTTGCCCAAAAAATCCCAGATGTCTAAAACAATTGTTAAACATGTTTTAAACATGTAAAAGACATGTATAAGACATGTTTAGAACATTTTCCTACATGTTAAATACTTTTCAAATTCAATGCAAGGACTGTTAGGGTGTCCATTGTCGTGGCATCCGCGACCCTACTGTAATCCATGTTTGCGCGCCCCCGATCCAGGGCCCTTGGCATCCTTACCATGCGTCCTTACTGTACGGGTTAACTGCATCCCCTTTGGTGCGCCCCGCCACCGGCGGCTGGGCACCCCGCCCGGGGAAGCAGGGCCGCAGGCCGCGCGGAGGGCCGCCTGCGGGAGGAGGTCGTGGCGCTCCAGCAGCAGCACGCGCTGGCGGAGGCGAGCGCCGCGGGCCCCACGGGTGCGCTACCTCCTCCTCCTCCTCTTCCTCCTCCTCCTCCTCCTCTCTCCTCCTCTCTCCTCCTCCTCCTCCTCCTCCTCCTCCTCCTCCTCCTCCTCCTCCTCCTCCTCCTCCTCCTCCTCCTGGTCCTGCTCCTCCTCCTCGAGGCGGGAATTCATACATGACCACCGCCTGGAGGGTCAGTTTTCGGAGCCTCGGCAGGCGGTGGATATGGACATTTTCGGGCCCCCGGGGGCCCAAATATGTTCATATCCACCGCCCGCTAAAGCACCAGGACGTCGTTTCCCAAGCGGTGGATATGGATAAATCCCCGCCTCGCAGTGGAGGTTTGGGTTTTTTTTATTGTTTTGTTTTGCTCGTTCCGAATCTTGCTCCCGCAGCAGCGCTGGCCTCGTTTCCGCGCTTCCGCTCGTTGAGAGTCGTGCTCCCGCAGCAGCGCTGGCCTCACTTCCGCGCTACCGCTCGTTCCGAATCGTGCTCCCGCTGCAGCGCTGGCGTCATTATTTCCAGTGCCGTGCCACGGCATGGTTTTCGATCCTTCCGAAGATGCCCCCAAATCTATAGAATGCCCCCCCCCTCCGAAAAAGACATCGGAAGTGATTTACACATTCGGTGCCGATCCGTTGATTGTTTGGGCCGCGAATGCCTCACTTTGGCGCGTCGCCACGCCATGTTATGTCATGCTACGCGTTGATATTCAACACCATGCTATGCCATGTAATGCTATGCCATGCTGCAACATCCGACTATGCGAATAGAGAGGAGTCGCTACGCCATGCTATGCCATGCTATGCCATGCTACGCGATGATCGTCAACACCATGCTACGCCATGTACTGCTAAACCATGCTACGATATCCGACTGTGCGAATTGAGAGGATATCTACGCCATGGTAAGGGATGGGAGGGAGGTGTTGGACATCAGATATGACGCGAGCGCGCTTAGCTTGGCCCTGCCCCTCTCTTTCGACCCGCTCGCCCACCCCCTGTATTCAGGATGTGCCAGCAGTCATCGATTGAAAGTCCTGCGAGTAGTGCTGTATTGTGAGCGCTGTGGTGCACATGCGAGTGTGAATGTTCGGAATCTTGCCAAACCGTGCAAGACTGACCGTCCGCCCTCGAGGGCAGGGAAAGAGGTCCTCTCCAGGCTGGGCACGCACGGGGGCTGCCCCCCCCCCCCCCCCCCTCCCAAAGTGGTGGTATCCGCACGCTTGAATGTTGAGTCGTGCAAAGGCTTGACCTGGTCTCCACGGGTTTGCAGATCAGATCTCCTCCTCCTCCCTCGTCGCCGTCGTCGTCCTCCTCATTCCGTGTCCTCCTCCTCCTCCTCTTCCACCTCCGCCTCCTCCTTCTTCTCCTCCTCGTCCCTTGTCCTTCTTTTCCCTCGTCGTTGTCCTCCTCCTCCTCGTCCTCCCTCGTCCTCCTCCGTCGTCCTCGTCCTTCTCTTCCTCCCTTGGCGTTTCGTTTATCGAGACCCGACATTACAACGCAAAAGTGTACAACATCTCCAAGAATCACTCGGCGGCGAGCGAGGGGAGGCAAAGGGAGAAGGAGAAGGCCTTCTCAGAAGGAGGCGGGACTTCTCTGAGGCGCTCTGGCCTTCTGGGGCATTTTCTGCGCATTCGGGGAAGACTTCGAACACTTCTCAGAAGGCCCGGGGGCTTCCGAGCCTTCTGAGAAGGCCCGCCCCCTTTCACTCCCCCCCTCCGGCGCGCCGCCGAATCACAAGCGGAGCCATTGACCCCATCTTTTTGCTGCATGTTTCGAGCCAGATCGATCTGGGATGACCCGGGGGCCCAGCATCGAGCGAAAGCGCACAGTGTGGAAAAATTGGAGGGTTCGGATCTGGTCTTCGGATCATAACTCGGGCCTCCGGCAGCCTTTCGGAACGATCCAGGCACTCCCAGACGCCTCTCGGCGCGGCGCAGCCGCTGGAAAGCACTCGAGGCTTGGAAACCTCGAGTACGGAATCGACTACAGAATTCACTAAACCCAATTGTCCGTCGAATCTACAGCAACAGAACGGCGAACTCTCTACAGAGCGTGCTGCGTGGTTTTCGTAGATCCGACGAGGACACTCATTCTGGGGCAACCAATTCTGCAGTCCATCCCCTGATAAGCGTCGGAGGGGCGTCACCCCCGTCGACAGCCTCACATCGACCCCCGTCGCGGGCAGCCACCGCACGCCGAAGGCGCTCCGACCCACGTCGCGGCGCGACGACGAGGCGAGATTGACCCACGGGTATCCCCCCCCCCGCTTGTTAAGAAACCCAGACAATTGAAACAATGTGTACACAGTCCAACCGATGGTATTGTCCCTTCTGCACAGAATGCGCAGTCGTCGTCGCTGCAGGCGTGGTCTCTCCGAGTCAGACGTCCGCCTCCCTGACAGCAGCCGCTGTCTGTTTTGGACAGCACTTGTTACGAGGTTGACCCTCGTCGGGGGGATACCCCCCCACGCTTATAAAGAAACCCAGAGTACTCGAAGACCACAGGGAACAGACGAGAGTGCCCGAAAGCCTCGAGCCTCGAGCCCGAAACTCCCAGAAACCTCCCCGCCGGGGCGCGCCGCTGGCCTCCGAGGCTGCGAAAAACCGGGCTCGGGACGATCCCGGCGCCCTCCCGGGTCGCCTCTCGGCAAGGCGCAGCCATTGGAAAGCACCCCGCGGCTGGGACACCGCCGGGAGCCGCCGAGAGGGCCCGAAAGCCTCGAGCCTCGAGGAGGAGGAGGAGGAGGAGGAGGAAGAGGAGGAGGAGGAGGAAGAGGAGGAGGAGGAGGGGGATGAGGGGGAGGAGGGGGATGAGGGGGAGGAGGGGGAGGGGGAGGAGGACGAGGAGGAGGAGGAGGGGGAGGAGCTCGGCAGGAGATCGGCATGAGGAGTACGCAATCGTACTAAATGGCTTGTTAGCTTCTATACACGCACACTCACGCATGCACGTGCGCATTAGCTCTAGCAATGGCACGGTTGGCATCCCGCCAGTGCAGGGCCTCCTGTACTTTCTTGGGCATGCCCTTGGGGTGGGGCCACAAGCCCCGTGCAATTCGTCTAAGATTCTGCTCTCCCTTAGCCGTCTTATGGCCACCCTCTTCAGCCTGAGTTATTACCAGGAGACTACTGCAGCCCCCACAGGAGGAGTAGAGGTCGACTTGGTCTACATACAGGAGGGTGTGCGACGGGTGCATCGCCTTCCCTACCACACCGAGACCCGACGACGACGGCCCTCCCGCCCCCGTTCGATGCACGCACACTGCGCCAGCCTGTGCAAGCTGCTTGGGCCTACACTCTGACTTGGCGAACCACTCCAGGTCCGCGTGCAGGGCTGAGCGCTCACATATTTGGCAATGCCACTTCGCACGCACCCACTCCAGATGGTGCTGCGACGAGGCAGTCAGTACAGCCTGCTTGCACGCTCTCGGACCCTTGGGCTCCGCCGCCGACCTGATAGGGTCGAGCGTCATGCAGTCCAAATTGGCACGGACCGGCCTGCGACGCACGAGAAACGCCACCGCGTCGACCCATCCAACCTCGGGCTTTGGCGGTGGCTTGACACAAGATCTCGGCGGCAGCTTGGCCCGCAAAAGCATCGGCGCATTCATTTCCTGCAGTCTGCCAGAGCTGGTAGAGGATCTCACCGCCTGAGAGCTCTTCGGCCTGCTGGCTGTGCCAAAGCACAGTTTGAATTCTAGAATCATCCCTCTCACTCACGGCCGCCCGTATGGCGAGCCACAGGTCCGCGTCCGTGCCTTGCGGGGGCTGCCGCTGTCGACCGTGGGTCCAGCCCGTCACCAGCGGCAGCTTGCCCGTGTGGCAGCGCAGGTTGCCCCGCGTGACTCTCAGCGCCAGGAGGAAGGCCCACAGCTCCACACTCGGGACGGTCTGCTTGGGCCCAGGCAGCCCCGCCAGGATGCCCGCCACGCGCGTCGGGGCGTCGTTCTCGCGCTCGGCGAAGGTGCGCATGATGGTGACGCCGACCCCGCACTGTCGGAGCTTGGGGTCGCCACTGTGCCCACCCCCCGAGCCATCCCCGAAGACGTCGAGGAAGCCGTCGGGCCCGCGCGGGCGCTCGACCTCATCCCAGCAGCCCGCGTGGCGCACGAAGTCCGCGGCGCCCTCAGGGTACGTGTGCCGCGTCCAGCTGGCGGGCGGCAGGCCTGTCAGCCACAGGCACGGCACCGCCTCGTGGCCCTCGACCGCCTTGTCCAGGAGGCCCTGCGTGGCGGTGTAGTCCTCGTGGCCCTGTTTGCACGGACATGTCCAGACTCTGTGCAGAAGCGTCTCCGGCTGCCCGCAGCGCGGGCACAGGCCTGTGCCAGCGAGGCCTCGCTCCTGCCTCAGGGTGCCGTCTCCAGAATTGCAGCCACTCTGCCACCAGCTGCCTTGGCAGCGCCAGCCCAGGGTCGTCGTCGCCCATCAGCAGCGCCAAGGTTGTGGTCAGGCATCTTCCGAAACCCTTGCCCGCAATGGCTCTGCTGGCCTGCCTGCACAGGCGCGGCATGAAGCATGGCGCCGCGCCGAGAACCTGGTGCCCGTAGATCAGCGCGGGCCGGGCCCCCGTGCGGTGCAGCTTCTGCGCATAGGTGCCCATGCTAGCGCGCCTGCGCAGCCGGAAGATGCCCCTGACCCACTTCGCCACGTTCTTGGCCCGCTTGGCTTGCGTCTGGTACCTCTTCCGCACAGCAGTGGTGGCGATCCCCAGATCCACGGCCGTCTCCACCGCGCGCGGGGGGGAGCCCTGTCAGGCTGCTTCCTCTGCCACCTGCCTGGCCGCGCAGTTGTGGGAGGAGACGACTGCGGACTTGCCCGACAAGACCAGCCTCGCCTCCTTGCTTTGCCCCGCTAAGATTTTGAGCGCACCGCCCATGCTGTCAATAGCCATCTGCTGCTTCCCCTCCGCGCGGAAGATGCTGTCGTCCACGAACGTGCTGAGGCCCACCTGCGGCGCGCCTTCACTGACGGCCTGCAGCAGCGGGTAGAGGAACAGGTTGTCAACCTTCACCCCCTGGTTGCTGCCCACCACTATGGGCCACTCCGCGCTGAGAGGCCCACTCACCCGCCCGTGCCTGCGCGGGCGGCGCGGCGCCAGGCAGGCCTGGGCCTCCAGAGAGATGACCGTGGCTGGGAAGGCCTCCTTCTCCGCCACCTCAAGCAGCAGGATGAGGTCGATGCTGTCGAGGAACTGCTCCAGGTCGAGCAGGACCTCGATGGCGCAGAAGTTCATGGCCACCGCGTTCTCGTCCAGTACGGATCGGCACAAGGCAGCCCTCAACGCGCTGCTGCCCCCGATCGCCGCATCCCAGAGCTGCTCCAGCGCATCGGACCAGGCGCCCGTGGCAGAGGCCCTCGACTTGGACCAGCACTTGATCAGCAGCGGCAAGAGGCCGATCGCGCGGTCACCGCCCCTCGACTTTGGCAACAAGGCTAGGATGGTGGCGAGCACCTGCCTCGGCCACACCAGGGCAGTCTCGATTTGAGTCAGCATGTCCGCAAGATCCCGGATGGCCTCGTCTGGGGGGCGGGAGGTGTCGGAGCTGCGGGGGGCGTCGACGCCCATGGCCTTCTTGGCCGAGATGGACTGCAGGGCCTGCCTGGTGCTCAAGACGCCATGCGCCTCCAGCTCCTCCTCGCTTGCTCTACTGGCTGTCTTTACCAGCCAATCCCGCAGTTTGGCCTCGTCGAAGGTAGGAGAGCTCCAGACAGCATCCCAGCGATCCTTCCGAAGCTTCATCTGGTGCGTGGCGTTGGCGACTGGCTCCGGGCTGCACTGTCTCGAGAGGCACTGGCCCTTCCCCTTCGATATGCATATGCGCAAGGCCCTGCGCCGTCTTCCACGTGGTGGCTATCCCTTTAGCGTGCTGACGCCCCGCCCGCGCCTGCGCCCGACCCGCAACGCGGTTCGCCCAGCGGGTCGCGGCCGTGCTGGACGCCCCCACGCCTTCCACGTCTACCCAGTCGAGCTGCGCCAGGAGCTGCCGCCAGCAGGTGACCTCGGACTCCTCGTGGCTCCTGCCAAAGTTCAGGAGGGAAAAAAACACACAGACACAATTATTCGTCGATTCCCAGAAAACATGGGAAAATATGGGAAGGGGGGGGGAAGACAAAAACACAGAAAATATTGGAAAAGATGGGGAATTATTTGATTTGTGTGTACTTATTTGTGTGTCCTTGGGCCCCTTCAAAAGTATTCGATGTCGCGGGCTAACCCCTGGGCGCTGTCAAGCCCGACTTCCTGGGTCATGGCCAGGATGGTGGCGCGGCCACGCGCCTCTTGGGATGGGTCTGCGCCACTGCGCGCCAGCGCCCGGGCGCGCGTCGCCGTGGCCGCCGGGATACCCCGCCACTCAGCCACGGGGCTGGCGAAGCGGGCGCGCCCTGGCGCCGCGCTGGTCTTGCGGCCGCCACGTGCCGCGCGCCATCCGCTCGCCCTCTCGTGGCGTCGGCTGGGGCTCCCGCGATCCCCGTCGTGACTGACGCTGGCCTCCTCCGGCGCCGTGACCCACCGCGCGTACAGTGGGGGCGCGTGCCAAGAAACCAGTTGGATTTTGCCGGGGTGCCCTGGGTTTCTTGGACTTCCATGGGTCCCCGATAAGACCTGGATGGTGTTCGATCGACAAGTTTGGGTTTTCATGAAACCAATCGCGGATTTCGGGGTTGGGTTTCTTGCGGAGGTTTCTTGTGGCCGAGGCCCCACTGTACCTCTTGGTGAGTTCGTAGGAGGCCGGGCTGCCCGCCTGGAGGGCACCGCGAGCTTCCGGGGGCCCCAGGGAGCAGGCGCTCCGCCGCGCCCGCGGCCTGCTCCCGGGCAGCGGCCCACGCCCTCCTCGGGAACTGCGCAGGACGTGCTCTGCTCAACCTCCTTCTTTCGGGCCGGGCGAAAGGGGGGGATTGGGAAAGGGGGAGTTACGAAATTTGCTGCATGCAGCTAGTTTCGGCCTCACCGAGGGGCCCATTCCTCGATACATAGCCGCCTCCGGCGCCGGGAGGCGCCGGGAAAATCAGCTACGTGAGCTGATTCTCAACCCCCCCCTTTGCTATCCCCCCTTTCGCCCGACCCGATTCTTGAGGTCCTCGTCCATGCACTCCGCCTCATGCATCGCATGCTGCGTGGCCTCCGTGCGCGCCAGGGCCTGCCACCCCGTCGGTCGCTGGGGCAGTTCATCACAGGCTGCCCCCAACTGTCTGTTGCCTTCCGCGCCGGTCTCCCGCCGGCTCCCAGTAGACGCATAGCCGTAGGCGCCGCGCTCGATGGACGCACGCTGGTCCTCCGCGGCGACCCAGGCCAAAGTTCATATGGACCTTCTTCGACTCCCCCCTTCTCTGGCGAGGTCGGCGAAGGGGTCCCCCTCGGGGTCGTCCAGACCAGCTGCTCGCACCGGTGGGCCTCCGCCCCATCGCGCGGCGGTCGCAGCGTCCACGTTGCCGCCGCCACAGTGCCGTGCAGGTTTTCCGACCCGCTCCTCGCGGCCAGATAGAATTGGAGCTCGCGATTGGCGGTTGGGGGCACGCCGTCTATAGACGCTGATTTGGTCGGCGTCGGCGTCCGCTGCATCCCGCCCGCCCATGCTGGGCCCGCCCCAGGGCCGCGGGGCCCTCCGCCCCCGCCTGACTGGGAGGGGGCCCTGGCCCCTCACTGCCCCAGCGCTCCTATGGGCGTCGTCGGGGCCACTGCGCGGCCTGCTCCAGGCCGCGGGGGGGGGGCCCCCCACCCCCGCCTCACTGGGGGCCCTGCCCCGCGCTGCCCCGACGCTCCTGCGAGCCGCCTCGGCGCCGTCGGAGCCGTCGCCGGGCCCGCCCCAGGCCGCGGGGGGCCCTCGCGCCCCCCCCGCCCGACATGGGAGGGAAGCCCTGGCCCCGCGCTGCCCCGGCGGCGCTCCCGTGAGCGGCCCCTGGGGTCGGCGCTGCTCTCGCCCAGATCGTGGCCGCCACCGTGCCTCCCCGCGATGTGCGCCATGCCCCTGGCCGTCCTCTCCAGCCGCCGCACGCTCCCGCCGCGCCTCCTCCTCCTCGCTTCCTGGGCCGCTGGCTCCGCGGGTCGGCCCCCCTTCTTGGGCCTGGCGCGGCTGGGCAGGGCCTTAGGCGTTAGCATGTGGAGGTGCTCCCTCCCTCCTCCCTCCTCTCCTCCCTCCTCCCTCCTCCCTCCTCCCTCCTCCTCCTCCTCCTCCTCCTCTTCCTCCTCCTCCTCCTCCTCCTCCTCCTCCTCCTCCTCCTCCTCCTCCTCCCTGGATGGACGCCCTGAGCCCAATGTGGGTGCCCCAGGGGACCTGCAGGTGGGCGCCCAGCCGCGCGCGGTGCGCCGCGGCCGACGCGACCCCGTATTCGATCAGGCTGCCCCTCCTTTTGCTGCATGTGGCGGTGCAGCCCCGGGCCTCAGGATCGTTCCGTCGACCAGCTCGGTCCACCCGAGGCGCTCCATCACGTTGGGCTCAAGGTTCCAGTCCGCCAAGACCAGCCGCGGGTCAGCGAGGGACCTCAGGAAGCCCGTGAGCGTCTTCAGCCTCGGTGCGTTCATGCCAGCGGCGAGGCCCATCCCAGGGAAAAAGTACACTGCCACGACGGCGAAGTTGTCCGACTTCAGGTGTGTACTCATAGCCGATGCTGTAGCCGAACTCTGGACCTCAGCATCCAAACGACCTCCATCTCAAGCTTGTTGTAGTTGAGCTGGAAGGAGGTCGTGGGCTGCACGAATGAGGTACTCTGGTCGGAGTCCCTCTTGTCCTTGTTCCAGGGCCACTCCTTCGCATTGGCCTTCCAGAGTTTTGAATCGATTCCTGCTGTCAAGGTTCTGAGCATGATGGCTGCACCCTCGTTTCCTGCAGGCGTAGTTCGTCGCGAAAATCTTATTCATCTGGAAAAGATACCCTGCTTATCGTTGGCGTTCTGATTGTGCTCCTCGAGCTTGCTGGACCATGCCGTGAAACGCCGTTGTGATAATGATTGCCACGTCGCAAGTTCTGTCAACGCAATCGTGTTTGGTCTCCCTGGGCATAGATGTCGTGCATTTTTCCAGGGTGCACTTCTGTTGCCACGTTTGTTGTAGTCCTGCAAATTGATGTCCAGCTGGCACCTGGCACATTTGAGAGACAGTGTGGCCATGTCGGGGAATATTTCCAGAACAAGGTGTTGATATTCATCTCCCCGAGCTTGATAGTTGTGGAAAAGTCGCTTCTCTACTCTGCGGCGAAAGATACTCTTGATGCTCTTCCGTGATCGCATCCGCGAAATTTTCTCTTAGAACATTGTGTCTGAGCCAGTGTCGTACACATTGTGGTACCACCAGTCCTTTTTGTCGTGCATCGCCTCTGGAATCGGTAGGTCGTGTGCCTCGCACTCTTCGACGCTGATGTACTGTAGGATCGCCCTTCCAAGCTGGCTGCACATTGTGTCGAGGCAGATACAACATGGCCCAAGGTTGGACACTGTCACGCTTATTCGCTCGTATGGCAATGTTGTACAAACAGTTGTTGACAGCCTCGTTCATGATCAGCCTAAGACGGCCTTCCCATCCTGATGAAATCTTTAGCCCGAGGAGAACTAATTGTCGGCATTCTTTCAGAAGCGGGAGCACTGCTTGTCCTTTCGTCGTGCTGTCTCGATACGATGCTCTGGCTTGCCCGTTGCATTCAATCCCGAAGGGTCGCAGTAAATTGTTCGTGGCGGCTGTGAACATCTTTGCCTGTGTACCTATGCTGCTCTCTGCATGTCCGTCTCGTAGCGCCATCTGCTCATCGATGGCATACGTGAAGTCGATCAGAGCCGTGATGGACGCCGTCGTATAGGTAGCTGGTGTGTCCAAGGCCTCTGGTGTTGGTGGCGGCTGTAGGTCGACATACGTGTTGCTCCAGTACCAAAATAGAGCCTGCGCGTTCGAGAGTTCCCATGTCCAGTCAACTTTCGTAAACGTCGTCTCGCTGAGTCTCCGATTTCGTAGTGGTGGAACACCTTTCCCTGTTGTTCTGGGTTCGAATTGGGAAAGGCCTTCTCTTTCGTTGCATATATTCCTCCCCCCAGTACAGCATCTGATGAAGTTGCTGGCTCCGTTGTCGGACTGCTGTGTCTTGGTTGTGGAGGTTTTGATGGTGATGCTGTTGTGTCGTGGTGCTGTGCTGCTGTCGGGCTGCTGCCGGTCTGCTGCTAGTTGCTGCGCTGCTCTTTGAGTGTGTTGTCAAAGCGAGTCTGTCTCGCTCAGTTGAGTGCTTGTGTCTGTGTGCTGCCGTGTCGTCAGGTGGTGGTTGTTTCCGTGTCAGTCGTCGTCTTTGCTGTTTTTCTGGTGTCGTTTCGTGGCTCGGAGTCGTTGGTGGTCGGTCGTCTCCTGTCCTCTCTGGTGTCGGTTGGTCGGTGAGTTCTTCTGGTGTCGGCATATCCTCCTCCATACTCCCTCCGTGTCCAAAAACGTCTGGTTCCTCGTCCATGTCTCCGCCGAGATTGAATACATCGTACTCCTCGTCGCCGTAGGCGTGTTGTGGAGGGACCTCGCGTAGTTCCTGTTGCCGTTCGAGATACTGCTGCACATGAATTCCTCGATCTGCTTTGCCGAATAATATGAGACCTTCTGCAGCTCGTTGTTGGATGACGTCAATCAGCATACCCTGCATGTCTTGAGCCATCTTGATGCGAGTCTTGTACTTCTCAATTGTCTCAGTGTCGATCTGGTGCCGTAGTGCTCCTTGTACTGCTCTTCGATCTGATTGTTCGTTGTGTTCGCGTGCTTGTCGGTCTGCAGGTCGTTCG